TATATATATATATGAAGTGACCATACCGCCTATATTAAGGTGCGATAGTCTTTATCATTTCTGATATAACTAGGCATACAAGAAAGGAGGGTAAAGAGTCGGAGGCATATATCACATAAAAAAAAAAAAGGAAATAATAATAATAATAACACATTCAGTTATAATAATATATACATTCTTACTACTTTTTTTTTATTGGAATATATAGACGTTAAATGATATTTATTATTTTCCATAAAAGAAAAAGGGGTTGCCAAGTGATATTCTTATTCTTATATGATTACTTCCAAAGAGGAACTTTGATGGGACATCAGAATATTTTTTGCTGTTTTGCCAAAAAAAAGAGGGGGGACGGGATTAATATTCCCATTACAGTATCCATATAATAAGGTACAACGTAAAAGGAAGATACTGGGTTTATTGTTCAATTAATATGGTCATAAGAGCTATAGGACATTAGAAAGACATGATGATATTTAAGTGGACCAGAACAAAGAAAATAGAAAGATCGTGAAATTTAATATTTTTGGGGACCTATACCTTTTTTCCAACTTATAACCATAGCTCACTGGAAAAAAAATTTAGCACAAGATACAAAGAAAGCATATACTGCTAAATACAAAGAAAGCAGAAAACTGTTCTTAAAAACAAAAAGAAAAAAAAGAAACAGAAACTGAACAGTTTACCTTTTGCCATAAAAAAAAGAAAAAAAAAATTTACGGATTTGTAATAGCGTAAAACGTCAAATCCTAAAATAAGTCATGAATAGGACTCATTAGCCATAAAGAAATGTATTAAATGATTAATGATAACTCAGTCCAGTAAATAACTTTCTTAGGAGTGGACCCTTACAAAGAGGCGTCAGATATAAGTAAGAGGTCAAACATTATGAGAAACATAAAGGATGGATGTGAGGCCGACTGCACTCACAGACATGAGCGAAGAACCTAAAAGAAGCATCTATGGAGTCAAGGCTATGCAAGGATAAAGATCTGAAAGGTTTCCTCTGAGATTTACTATTTATAATTTATATATGAAATTTAAATAAGAAAATTACCTTAATTGATTGTAATCTCTATCTTTTGAGAAACTATCTCAAAAGATAAGAAAAATATCTTAAATTTGAAAAAGGAAACAAATGGGGGCGATGACCTAGGAGTATAAATAGGGGATTATAAATCAAAAAATCCTTAAGTCTCGTCTTGAACATTAGTGCATATAATCTTTCCACAATAGTGAATTTTTTCTCCTCTCACATTGGACGTAGCTCTCAAATCAAGAGTGAACTACTATAAATTCTACACGTTTTTACTTTTAATTCACTTTTAATTACTTTTCAGATCATTTAATTCGCATTTATTGCTGAGAAATTCATTATAATTTTATTTGACGAATTTTCACCGTCAAAATCCTAAGACTCTCTGAGGTATAAAAAACAGCATTATCATTCATCAATGATGAAGTTGGTGCACCATCAAATTTGATTAATGCATAGTTGTTATTTCGCACTAAAGTGAGATATCCCTCGTTTTTTTTTTTTTTTTAATACAATACGGGAAAAAACTCAGTCTTTTTTAAACCTCACCTCACACAAATCTCCTGGTGTCATTAGACCAACCAGTTGCAAGCAATGTGGAGGGGTTTTAATTATGTGTATTTTGATAAATTAGAATTCAAAATTTATCTTATATTAATTAAATTAATTAAGTTTTTAAAAGTGAGATATTTTTAATTACAAACTTATATATTGACAGACACAAAGAAATTAACACGAGTACGTATTTCTTTTTATTTTCCACTTTTTTAACTTTTTCTATTTCCATTTTAGGGGGTTCATTATTGATACAAATTGGTTTGATTTGAACATGAGACTTTTTCTTTCCCTTTTGAAGGTGCCAAAGAAGGTTTTGTTTATGCCATGGAGAGAGAAGAAGAGAACCACATCAAAAATCACTTTGAACAGTGACACAAAAATGGAATCTGAGCTTTATAAGAGTCCCCAAAGAAAAGTAAGAAAAGGCCCACCTCAAGAAAAAGGCCAAAGCCGTGTTGGTCATCGTTCCCATCTCTCCCATGCTTCTTGTCCACTCCTAATATCCAAGTTTCCAATCCAATTCCAAGTTGAGATTATATATATATATATATATATATATCATCTCACTTCCAAATTCCCTCCAATAGCCAAACAAAAGTATTCCAAAATCAAAGTTGCCCAATATTAAGGACGATTATGCATAAATCTGGATGTTAACTTTGACAATAACTATTAATGCGTTTTTTTTTTTTTCAGATGCTACGAAAATTATCTCATAATTATCAATCATTTTGACTTTTCCCAAAAGTCCTACGCCGTTCACTAAAATTTGGGGCACCCAAAAATTAACTTCAAAATGGCAATGATAACTACAGAAAATTTTTTTTAAGCAAATTTGTCAGTTTATAATTTTCCACCCTGTCAAGGAAAGCCGATTAGGGAAGGACCTAGAGAGGTTGCGAGGATTTGTTTTGTTTTGTTCCATTCCTTAGGATAAGGAGGAAAAAAAAAAAAAAAAAAACTTACAATTTTTAATTTTTGGAAAATCTAGAAAATAAAAGTTGTGGCTGCAAATTGCCCATCAATTTGTAGTATCCCCCAGTCCATTATTAACCAACCAATCTTATTCACTCACTCTTCCAGCCCATCTCTCTCTCTCTCAAAGGGCCCATCTCGTTGCCACTAGTCTAAGGGAGATTAACCCCAAAAGCATCATTGTGAAGAATTTCACAATTCACACCACCCCACCAAAACAAAAACAAAAAAGTGGGAACATAATTTTGTTAACTATTGAGAAAGATAAGTGCAAACTGCAAAATCTGCAACCCCCTAATCAGATTGGATGCTTTTTGCTTGCTCATAGCTTAAAAATCCCATCTTCATGGTACCACAAAAGTGTACATAAAGGGGAGAGAGTGAGAGAGAGAGAGAGAGAGAGAGAAGTAGAAGAAGGAATATGGTACATAATAATTGAGAGGTTGTAATTTTTTTATTTGTATTTTTAGTTTTTGTTTGAAATTGTGTGGAGATGTCAGGTGGTGGGTGTAGCATAGTTTGGTTCAGGAGAGATCTGAGAGTGGAGGATAATCCAGCTTTGGCAGCTGGAGTTAGAAGTGGTGCTGTGATTGCTGTGTTTGTTTGGGCACCCGAAGAGGAAGGCCATTACTACCCAGGAAGAGTCTCAAGGTGGTGGCTTAAGCAAAGTTTGGCTCATCTTGATTCATCTCTCAGAAGTCTTGGCACTTCTCTCATCACAAAAAGGTCCACTGATAGTGTTTCTTCACTTCTTGAGGTTGTCGAGTCCACTGGTGCTACTCAGCTTTTCTTCAACCACTTATATGGTCAGTTTAGTTTAGTTTTTTTTTTTTTTTTTTCCTTTTATTTTCTTTTTCATTTTGAAGCATAATCAAGAACCCTTTTGGCAATATTGTCTTCTTCTTCCTCCGAATTTATCTAAATTTGTGACCTGGTGACATTGAATAGTTTCTTGATTTGGTATGTGAATGTCCAAATTGAGTTGAGTGGTTGATTAAAGATTTAGCCTTTTTTCTCTTTGATATACAATTAAAGTTTAGTCTTTTCTGGTTGCCTGAATTTGAAATTACTCTTTTAGTAATCTGTGAAATTGTTAATTAGGATATTTTGTTTTGCCTAAAGAAAATACTTGTGTTATAGTTTCTTTTTTTTTTTTTTTTAGGAAATTCTGTTTAGAGATGTTTTCTACAATCAGTTCTTAACTTTAAAATTGCCCATTTTCACACTTTTGGGAACAAAAGACTAGAGCTCTATATAATATGTCTTTATGTATTTGTGGCCGTGTTTGGTATTTCAGACCCCTTGTCTCTTGTTAGAGATCATAGAGCAAAGGAGGTGTTAACTGCTCAAGGCATAGCTGTGCGTTCCTTTAATGCGGATTTGCTCTATGAGCCATGGGATGTCAATGATGCCCATGGCCGTCCATTCACAACCTTTGCAGCTTTCTGGGAGAGATGCCTTAGCATGCCATATGACCCCGAAGCACCGCTTCTACCACCAAAGAGAATTATTTCAGGTTTGAACTCTAAACTATGTGAATAGGAGCATATAACTGCATCAAGAGATGGTAGCGTTAACTTTTCTGATAGGTGAATACCAGATAGAAATGGCATTCGGGCATTGGTATGTTGTAAAGTTCATAATTTTCATGTCTCCGGTCCACATTCTGATATTCTTGAACTTCCTTCAGGTGATGTGTCGAGGTGCCATTGTGATACGTTGGTGTTTGAGGATGAATCAGAAAAGGGAAGCAACGCACTTCTCGCTCGAGCATGGTCTCCTGGTTGGAGCAATGCTGATAAGGCTCTAACAAACTTCATCAATGGACCGCTGATTGAGTACTCAAAAAATCGCAGGAAGGCTGATAGCAACACAACTTCACTTCTGTCTCCGCACTTGCATTTTGGGGAGCTAAGTGTGAGGAAGGTGTTTCATCTCGTCCGTATCAAGCAGGTCTTATGGGCCAATGAAGGAAACAAGGCCGGTGAAGAGAGTGTGAACTTGTTTCTCAAGTCTATTGGTCTTAGGGAGTACTCAAGATACTTGAGTTTTAATCATCCTTACAGTCACGAAAGACCCCTTCTTGGGCATCTTAAGTTCTTCCCTTGGGTTGTGAATGAGGACTACTTCAAGGCATGGAGGCAAGGTAGAACTGGATATCCATTGGTGGATGCTGGCATGAGGGAGTTGTGGGCCACTGGATGGCTCCATGATCGGATTCGAGTGGTAGTTTCCAGTTTCTTTGTGAAGGTTTTGCAACTTCCATGGAGGTGGGGAATGAAGTACTTTTGGGACACACTCTTGGATGCAGATCTAGAGAGTGATGCACTCGGTTGGCAGTATATATCTGGTACTCTCCCTGATGGCCGTGAATTTGACCGCATTGATAATCCACAGGTGTGTATGTGAAGCTTTGTTCTGTTTCCTGAACTAAGAACTTTCAGAGATCCGTGTCTTTTATCTAATGCTGGTAAAACAAACCTGCATCATTATTCCCGTACTCATTTTCCGCTTGTCACCAAACTATGTCTCCAGCAGTCTAGGACGACAATTCTTCAGCCACCTATCTAATTGTTTGAAGGAACAGAATATTTCATTAGCTTTAGAGATTTGTTTGTACAACTAAACTTCCACACTAGACCTAACCATATTGTTATGCATATTTTTGTCAGAACAACATTAAAATGAATGGCTTTAAGTAGAAAATATTTAAGACGAATTTGCTGTTTTTCAGTTTGAGGGTTACAAATTTGACCCCCATGGAGAATATGTCCGGCGGTGGCTTCCTGAACTAGCAAGACTGCCAACTGAATGGATTCACCATCCTTGGAATGCACCAGAATCTGTACTCCAAGCTGCTGGAATTGAACCAGGATCAAACTACCCTCTTCCCATTGTGGGAATAGACGCTGCAAAAGCCAGGCTGCAAGAAGCATTAACAGAGATGTGGCAGCAGGAAGCAGCATCAATGGCTGCAATTGAGAATGGAACCGAAGAAGGGCTTGGAGACTCCTTTGAATCAGGCGTTATTGCCTTTCCTCAAGACATACAAATGGAGGAAAATCATGAACCCCCGAGGAACAACCCTCCTGCAACAACACGGCGTTATGAAGATCAGATGGTCCCAAGTATGACTTCTTCTTTGGTAAGAGTTGAGGAGGAAGAATCCTCTCTTGATTTTCGAATCTCCGGATTTGATAGCCGAGCAGAAGTGCCAACAAATGTTGTTGTGAATCAAGAGCCAAGAAGAGACATGTTAAACCAAGAGGCAGTGCAGAATACTACTATTCGCAACAACCCTCCACCGCAATTCAATACTACAACCGTACTGCAACTCACAGCTGAAGATTCCACATCAGAATCTTCCAGTAATACTAGGAGAGAGCGAGACGGGGGTGTTGTCCCCGTTTGGTCTCCTTCAGCTTCTAGTTACTCGGAGCAGTTTGTGAGTGATGACAATGGCATTGGAGCAAGTTCATCTTACTTGCAGAGACATCCTCAGTCTCATCAAATAATGAATTGGAGGCGGCTATCTCAAACTGGGTAAGAAGGAAAAATTGAAAAGTACCTCTAAATACTAAACCTTAAGTTCACACTCCCCCTTTGAACAAATTTTATGCTGCTTCGTTTGAGATCTTTGGTCTCATATCCACTAAAAGTGAAATGCTTCATTATATGTCAGGATAAAACTTGCTTACGAGTTTTCTTTTGAAAACAGGTAAAAAGGAAAGGAAAACTCGTATAATTGTGAAGTAAAAGCTTCAAGTGGGAAATTGCAATATCACTGGATTCAATAGGCAACAGTTGAAAGTTTGCTTGACACACAAGTTCGATTCGACCCGCTTTGTCTCCTTCACCCATTTGACCTGAACAGCATTGACCTCTGAGGTGTATGATATTCCTAATTGACACAGGCAGCTACTTCGCCACCACCCTTTTTCCCTTGTTGTTGTATCATATAATGTAGCTCTGTTGTATAGTAAACGTTGTTCTCATAAGGGGAGAGTAGAGAATTAAAATAGAATGTATAGTCCTAGAATAAGCTCAGGCTTGTGCTTTGACTGTTAGTAAGCAGATATTCTGTGTCATAATTTTTAAGTACCACGCTTTTTGCCCATTTGTTATTTAATAACATTTACTGCTATGTGTCTCATGTTGCAATTGTTGGCTATCATGTATCTGCATAATTTAAATTGTAATGGGAAATATATTTAAGCACATTTAAAACCCCTCCAAGATCTAGAGGAGAAATATATCTGAGCTCTTATATGCATTAATTGTATTATTGCTCCGTTCATTTAACTGATTTGAGTTTTATTAACTCTCAAAAACAGTCTCATTTAACTATTTTTTTATAGTAAAAAATTTTCACATAAAGTCACATTTCAACTCAAATTAAAAATTTAAATCAACGAACTAGGCGGAGTTACTCCACCACTTCAGGTAGGATCAGCGATTCAGACTGATCTTCTAGAGTTGCTATAATAGTAAAAAAAATGTTCCTCACAAAATGGTCATTTGGGAGGTGAACAATTTATGGCTCAACTTGCAAACATGGATGATTGTACATTCTCTTGGTGCCCTCCGACTACTCTGGCTTCGGGACCCGGAGAATACTATAGATCATGGAGGCCGCCATGGTTCCGAGAACCGGGGCTACCATAAAGACCCAAAGCTTTGAATAAATTCCAGATACAATGGCGGGGCCGAAACTCCTGGCGGGATTCATGGAAGCTCCGGTGATGGGCCTGCAAAATCCAATGTGTTAGATTTTCAAGTATAAAACATTTGACAAACTAGTACTAGAGCATCCATGGTTATGACTTATAATTTAGCAGTAGTGCAAGTAACCATGAAAGAATTACCCAGCAACCATAACATTGACCAAAAGTGCAGCTCCTACTGCCACTCCAGAGAGGTCTTTACTCTGCTTATATCAACAAAAATAAATAAATCCAAAACAAGAAATATACTAATGAAAAACTAGAATTACTTTCTAGAATTTGCTATGGTTTTAGAAATTTACCGCTCTATGATCCGTGGCAACACCACAGATGGTGAACATCAAAATAAAAGAGATAATGAATTCCCATGTGATGGCTTCAAGATCAGTAGTTGGGGGGGAGTGGAGAGTCATTATTGCACGAAGACTATGTTGGTCATTAAACAACACCCTCAGAGTCAGGCTTGCCAGTGTGGCACCCAGCAACTGTGACAATACGTACATAGGTACCTGTATATCAACACAGTACCTGGCATTTTAACGGACAAAAGAGAGAAATGTCCGGGGACACCACAATTAATATAATAAGAGCCTCAAGGTTTTATGATGTGAGACTCAATTTTTATTATTATTGTGTGGTGTTCAACATTATATGTACTTTTTAATATTGTTTGACAAAATAACTGATATAATGAGAAAAAATAAAGAATTTAGGATCATTACTGGTGCTAAGCACCATAACTAATAGCATAAGGGTCTCATCCGTAAAAAATTAAAAAAAATCATGCTATGAGATTTATTTTTTATTAGTATATGGTGTTAACCACGTATTGTCAATGAAAAATGACGTGAAAGTTGAAACTAGAAAAAGCTCTTGAATTTTTATTTTATATCATGTTATCTTTTCTGTTGCGTCATGGTAATTCACGTGGAGCTGTGTTTTCATCATCTTATATTAGATTTGGATATTGGAATTTCATTTATTGAATAGTTTAGTAGAAAAGGGTAAGAGCAGTGATATATTGTCGTCTCACATGAGTCCAAGGAAATTTGTGGGCAGCAGCCAAGGCAATGGTGACTGCAGGATTGAAATGGGCACCAGAGACATGCCCCAATGCATAAATTGCAGCTGTCAAAACAAGACCCCAAACTATTGCTATTCCCACAATTGTAAGCGGTTGTACTTTGTTCACAAGAGCAGCTCCACACCCAAGAAATATGAGAAAATATGTGCCTATAAGCTCGGCAACAATCTAGTCACACACACACACACAAATCTTGGTTAGTGAAATTCTATTATTTTAGTACATTGCTTATTCTCAAATCCCAACTGTCAAGTTAGAAGTTACCTTTTGGAAGTTAGATGGAGCAGAATGAGCTTGAATAGTGAATTCTTGTGAACCATTAGCTTTTCCTTCTTCCAAAACTATAGAATGGTCAGTGGGAAATCCAAGTTTAGGAGAAGGCCCAACAACAGTTGGAGGTGAATTAGCCATTTCAAGTTCTTACAAATTAGTACTACACCACCATGTAATCTGTAGTACAAGTACTGTGATCGACTCTTTTTATATCTAACTTTTTATTACCTGATGCTTGACTAAATCAACAATGAAGCACAGATTTGGACCTTATTTTACGGCGGTATTGGGGAATAAACTTATAGTATCAAGCATCGTAGGGCTTCAAACGGAGCTTCTTATGCCAAAATTCCTTTGTTACAAAGGGAGATGCCTTATTGAAAGACAAGGTCGGACAATTTTCTAATCATAAAAATGCATATTGAATTTCTATTATTACATCCTCGGTCCGCCTGTTTTGGGTTTTAAGCAGTTAAAATAGTGGTAGGGCCGGCCACTGGGATTAGTTGATAGCTCATGTTCATCAGTACATAGAAAAAAGGCAAGAAGAAAAACACAATTAACAATCTTCACAAGAGTAATATAGTGAAACAAGGTTTTCCAGGGACCAAGAAATTAATAAGTTATTAGATCAGTTTGATAGAAGCCACTCGAAGGAAAAAACGGCAATTGTTTTATAAATCTGTAGATTCATGTATAGTATTGTTCCACAAAAAAACTGAAAGGTCCGCTTGTCGGTCGGTGTTACAAAGAGTGTTATAATACTTGTTGTAATATTGATAACAGATACGTACAGATGAATATATTTTTTCTTTGATTCAGTAGCAGCAAATTATAAGTGCAGAAAGATCAACATAAACATAAAAGACACAAGAAATTAATATCGCAATTCGGTACGCACACCTACATCTGCGTGGCCACGTCCAGACAGTGAACAATTCACTAAGATAAAGAGATTACAAACACCAATTGGTCTTACACACTCAAAGACTCCCTCCTTGATATTGTCGCCGCTATGGAGAATCTTCTTAGTGGCATTGTCCAACGAGCACCACTCGTCTTTGAAAACTTTCTCCCGAAAGCAATACGTTCTTCTCCCGAAGAACCCCCTTTTATTTTTCTCACTCAAAGAGCATCAAAGCAGCCTTTTACTGCAGAATATTTCATTCAAAAGCCCTCACTCACGTTCATGGCTGCATACTAATTATATACAACCCAAATTGGTCAACATACCGATCTATTCTCCTACCAAAATCACCATAAACAAAGCAACTTCTCCTCCAAGGATTCTTCCCATACATAGAGCCTATCATGTGACCATTACCACAATACCCAGAGTTAGTAGTACATGCTCACCGCAATAATGACCAGCTAAACACAATTCTCATACATGTAGCATCTTGGTCTTATATGGTCAGTTAAATCGCAATAATAACATATGGGGACAAATCTTTTACGTCGATGGGGTGAGATAATAACCTTCTTATTGAGGGTAGTCTGAGGTTTAGGAGCGGGTGTCTCCTTCACAAACACTGTCTTGGACGTTGAACATTCACTAGTATAACCAAGTCCATGACAATCGCAACTTGCTTTTCATATAGAGAGAATATGATCTAATTTGGTGGTGTCAGAATTCATTATCTTCAAATTTTTCTGAGTGCTCTCCAGTTCAACCATTGTTTCCTTTAATTTCTTTTCTCTCTCTACAGCAAGCAATTCATAATTATCAGCAGCTCTCTTCAACACATCATTCTCTTTGACAAGATCATTGACGCGCTCCCGTAGAGACTTATTTATTTCGCACACTTTAACCCATTTGCTGAACATGGTCTTATAAGCTTCATATATGGCATCAACAGTCAACTCTTCACCATCACTGTTACTTTCATAATATGAAAATTCTCCTTCGTTTTCACTGTTCACGGAATCTGTTACAGGCAGTGTTGCAATACTGTCTGCGACACTGTCGACAGAAACACCCTAATCAGTATAAACATTGAAAGCAACTAAATTAATCACATAATCATCATCATACTCCTGACTTCCTTCAGATTCTTCATCACTCCAGGTAGCATTAAGTGATTACTTCCTCTTCTTGAGAGTGTTAGCGCACTCGAATTGAATGCGGCCGTAACTGTAGCATTCCCAACATTGAATACCCATATTTTTTGTCTTCATCTCTGTGTTATTTGCTGCAGCTTTATTCTTCTGGAAATGGTTGACATTGTCAAAGTTTGGCCTTTTTTCTTCTTGTTGAACTTCTTAGTGCCATCAAGTAGTGGGGAGTGTGAAACCGAGCCTCATTCTTTCAGAAAATCCATCCCTGCTATAACAGACTAACTCCCAAAATCTCACCAAACAAAGGGTTAGTGAATCGCTCTAATACCAATTGAAAGGTCTGTTTTTCGGTCGGTGTCACAAAGAGTGTTATAACACTTGTTGTAACACTGATGACAGATACATGCATATTGATATATTTTTTCTTTGATTCAGCAACAGTAAATTATAAGTGCAGAAAGATCAACAGAAACATAAAAGACACAAGAAATTGATATCACAGTTCAGTGCGCACACCTACATCTGCGGGGCCACGCCCAAACAGTGAACAATTCACTAAGATAAAGAGATTACAAACACCAATCGGTCTTACACACTCAAAGACTCACTCATTGAAGTTGTCGCCGCTATGGAGAATCCTCTTAGTAGCCTTGTCCAGCGAGCACCACTCGTCTTTGAAAACTTTCTCCCGAAAGTAATACGTTCTTCTCCTGAATAACCAACTTTTATTTTTTTTCACTCAAAGAGCATCAAATCAACCTTTTCCTGCAGAATATTTCATTCAAAAGCCCTCACTCACTTTCATGGTTGCATACTAATTATATACAACCTAAATTGGTCAACATACCCATCTATTCTCCCACCAAAATCACCCTAAACAAAGCAACTTCTCCTCCAAGGATTCTTCCCATACATAGAGACCATCAATTAGCCACCAAAAGTCAACCAAATTAACTCCATAAACTTATTTCCTTTTATTGAGGAAATTATCCCAAATCCGGTGTAAGTAGTCAAGAATAGAGTCTCCATAGTAGTTTACAATCTTACTGATTTTGTTTTTGAATTTACAATCTTTTGCCAACAAAT